CGAAACACCACCTCTTTCCTCTCGCTCTCTCTACACATTGCTGTCTCCATCTGTCAGCCCATTGCACCCGTCCGTCCACTAACCCCCCCCCCTTCGTTTCCTCTGCTCCTCTCTGGCCTTCCTACCCTCAGGGAGGTAAGGTGATCTCCCTGCGCTGGTGTAAGTGACTGGTATTAGTCTCCTTCTCTGTCTGTCTGTTTGATCCCGGCACTAATGACTCCACAGGGACTGGGGTCTGATAATGGGAAATCAATATAGAGAATAGCGCTCTGGAGTGGCCTCACTTAGCTCTCGCTCTTTCACGCCTCACAGCAAAGTGCCTCTGTGTATTTGTGTGTGTGAGGAGGAGGAAGTGTACAGTGTGTGCGCCCATGAGCACGTGTATCAAGGAAATCTGTGTAAATCTTTGTGGAGACTGTGGCCTATTACCAGGTGCTTGTAAATTTACAAAATATATCACAATTATATTCATGTTTTTTAATTCAAAATAAGGATTACTTGCAGTTCTACGGGCTGAAATTATTCTGCAGCTCATGAAACATTTCAAAAGCACATTTGATCAAATCAAAGTTACTGGAGAGGTGACATTTTCAGGGTCATCCGGCAGTAATATGCATGTGTGGCTGTGTATATGTGAGCGTGTGTGCCTAATCGGTCACACTCCTGCGCCTGGGGCCAGACAGGTGGGGCTGGTGGCATGAGGCTGGTTCCCCCCTTCCACCCTGAGGGGCCAGAAGGCCCAGCAAAGCAGGGGGCTAGAGTAGCTCCCTCTGCCAGGCACCAGAGCACTATGGCTGGTGACAGCTGGTCCTCTATCTCTCCCTCCCCTCCTCCCCTGCATGAGCGCCCTGCGGGCAGGCAACAGGAGGGGTGAGGAGGTCAAGAGGCAGGAGAGAATGGAACGGCGGCGACATGCAGCATAATCGGCTTTTATGAAGCGGAGAGGACACAGACAGAGAGAGACGGGAAACACAGCTCTGACACAATGCAACGGACTACAAGCAGTAATGAATTAACACATTAGCGCCACGACCAGGGGCGTTCAGGAGCACTCAGCTGCTCTTAAACACAAACCCACACTGGCACACTCTCTCTCTCTCACACACACACACACACACATAAATCAGTCATAAGTCCTTAAAGCACCAGCAAACACACTCTTATTAATTACATGAGTCATTTTGTCGATGGCAGATCCCTCTGAAAGCCACTGACTCTGATCAGAGACTAAAAATGTCTCCACAAAAACAGAAACATTTACTTAGCACTCAGATTAGATAAGACAGAGATTAACTCTTAAAAGCACAACACACACACACAAAGACGAGACAAAGCCATGGGAATCCTCTTGTCCAAACTCAACCCATGTGTTCAATTATCATCAGCCCCAAATGATCCCCATTAATGCTTTAACTCTTTCTCTAACATCTCCATCTCAGTCATCCATCCATCCTGTTTTTTGGGGGTTTTTTGCTCTCTGCTCTCCGTCCATCCCTATAATTCACGTCTGTGCGGTTACTTACTTCCCTTTCTCACTCTCTTCCTCTCCATCGTCCTCTCCCTCCCTCCCTGACTTTTAACCAGCGTGAAGAAGCAGCCATGCATTCAACCATCAGACAGGCTTACATGGTCTACCCTCACACACGCACACACACACACACACACACACACACACACAGAGTCAAAGCATATTGTTCCTCAAGAGTAACAAGAATGTGATGTTCACTGAAACAAATATCCACCATATCAGGGCATTTTTATGTGGTTAAATGTGCATCCTGATACTTGCAGGGGGAAAAAAGCTTACATGACTGATTTGTATACAAAGAAATCTCACTGAAAGTCTCTCTATTGGTTGCTGTTTGACTCCATGTGGAGAATATATCAAAGTATCCACCACAACATTTTTAAATCTACAAAAGCGACAACATTTAAACTTGTGTTTCCTCCAATAAAGAGAACCTTTTCAGAGGACAGCCTTCATATTTGGTAATTCAAATCCTTTAATATGTACTGAGCCACATATATAGCATTAACAGTGACATTGTATTTGGTTTATCTGCTTTTTAAGTCTTCTGGAAGATAAACTGTGTCCACATGGTGCACAGAGCAGTGGTCCAGTGACAGGGATGATGATGGCCCTGACCAAGTCCCTGATGGGGGATCCCATTCCTCTCCTCTCTTCCAACAATCCCACTGAGCATGTCAATATGAAACACAATACCCCCCCACACTGGGGCCATGCTAGGCTATCCCTCCCATTATAGACAAGACAGGCTGATATTGATAGGATGAGCCTGTAAACTGCTGCATCTGCGCATGGCTGTGGTATGGAGAAAAGTGTAAATTAGACCAAATCAAGTCTCCCAACAGTAAAACACATTTTCACAATATTGCACTCAATGTGAGCAAGATTTACAACACGAATTTTGTTGTATGTGGGTTGAAGCAAAGCCGGCCATAAAGCTTTGTTTACCCAACTTTAAAAAATCCACAGCCTTGTAAATGTTGTCAGATGGCCGATGCCAGTGTCTTTCAGCTTAATACTACCTATATTAAATAGTTTAAATATTTCATAAGGGCGGTTTTTAGAGCGAGGGAGGGGAAATCGTTAGCTGCGGTAAAGTTTCATTAACTGGTCCCCATTTCGCTGCGAGGCAAACTCATCTCCTCTTATTGTAATAAAACAATCTCTCTCTCTCTCTCTCTCTCTCTCTCTCTGGGCGCTGCTATCCACTCATCTCCCTCTCTCCACCGCCTCTCTCCTTCTCTTTTACATCATAATAATACACTACATCCCCTTTAAATGCACTATTACTTACCGCTGCCTTTTCATATTGTAACATCACGGGCACTTTAGCGACAATATAAAAGCGTGTCATTCATTATTCAGAAGCAGCCGGCCTCGTCCCCCTTTTAAAAAGTCAGGCGCGCCGCTGAAATTGATAACGGCGAAGAGACGCGCAATAAAAACGCAGCCCCCGGGTACCGAGCTCCAGCCCAGACCCCCGATTATGCAGATCAAGTGGTAATTTCTCAAACAAATCGCACTCTTTCACTCTTTTGTTGTCGTTTCTTTTTGGACTTTTGGAATCAGAGTGTCAGCATTTATATTGCCTGTGGAAAAAAAACGAGGATTGATGCGCATCTTAATTGTCCGTGTGGGCTGCAGGCTTTTCAGAAACACTATCTAAATATTTTGGCCTAAACGAGATAACCTCAAGGCTGCTTTTTAAAGGGGGTGTTCTTTTTTTAAGTGGGCTCATGGTATTACTTTTTTTTAACCTTTTCTGCCGTAATGATGAAGCAATGAAATGATCCGACACTGTCTTCAACATTCAGGCCATCAATAAATCCAGAAAGGCTGGCAGGAGGCGGGCAGGAGTTTCTCCTGGTGTGATTTGGATTACCGGTGTCACGGTGGTATCCCGGTAGGTCAGAGCTAATGTGTCATAATCCCTCATTATCATTGGGATGCACAGGATTACTAACACCTAACATCTGCAACCAGTGGGACCCAGTCTGCTTTGTACAGGCTGGAGCAGGGACTGCCTTCACTCCGCGGAGGAGTCAGGATAAACGCAATAACTATTAACTTTCATGAAGCAGTTTCCGTTGTGATCTGGGTATGCGTCGCCCTGTAAGTGGCCATGTAATTGTTATAAATTAATTAAATTAATTTAAATGTGTTTTGTTCGCCATAGTTACTGTTGGGGAACTGTTCGTTCAAATGTCTTCAAGAGAAACATAAAAATGTCCACAAAGATGACAGCTATAACAGACCAATTCTCCCCCATCAAAAGCCACCGGTGAGCTCACATATGGCAGGGTGGACCAGCCAACACTCAGAGTCTGTCCATATTGCCAAACAAACACCTCGGGCCTTGTCCAATCTCATATTGCTTCATAAGACTTTATTGTGAAGGGCGAGATGCGGATCCTTTTTTTAAATATAGCCTATATTACCCACTACAGGATCTTTGCATTTCCGTATGATTTGTGTGGCATATAACCTCACAAGTCACAATTTTACCAATAACAGTTTATTTTATTACAAGAATTTTTAATGTAGTTTAACATACAGTGTCATATAAAATCAGGCTGCATTTTCTTAAATAATGAATTGTGATTACAAAAACGCTAATAGACTAACAATAATAGCTAAAACACCGCATAAAGTTTTGGTCAAGAAGTCAGCATAACTCAAATACTAAAATGTAATTATTTGCATGGTTCAGACATTAAAATTCATTCCCACAAAAACAATGATTAATGAACAGATTGGACAGATCTTTTACACTCCTACAAATTTAAATCCCATTGTCACTAAATGAATATGTTGGGCATTAGTTGGTTAGTACTGTAATGTGATAGCCTAAAAAGCCACCTGCCGCATCCAAACCCGATGCGCATTTGTCTGTCCCTAAGACAAGTTAGTGAAAATGTGATTATCCGGTCACTTTGGGCGCCTGTAACATTGAATCTGAGCGGTTAGCAGCTTCCAGAGCCCGGACACTTTATCTGAAGTAGCCCATGGCCTTCCCGTGTCAGGTCATTTAATGTGGCACTGGCTACGAGGAACAAATAAGGCCACGTAATGCCATGCTCAATAGGTGCTGGTGATTCACTGCCAATGTTCAATTAGGCTGCTGTCCTTTTATTTTAAAAAGAGATGTGGTGGGTTTCATGTGCGTAATTACGCACCGGTAAAATGATAACTCTTGAAGCTTTATAATTTGTATTCTGTTTTAATTATCTCAAAGTACTACCGTCTTTAATAAAAGCTGGTGAAATGCATGATTAAGTAAATGTTTTCAAGTGATTTTACAACTACACCAAACCAACATGAATGTGACTACTCTGCATTTGGTTATAAGGTGTCAAAATTTAAGGCTTTAAATCCGACGCATTATGAATATTGGAAAAAAAAAAAAAAAAAACAACACTTCATCATTTTTGGTTTCAGGTTTAAAATCCAACATTTGTAAACAGCTGAACATTAGACGCCACAGTGCAGCCGAATCTCAAAGAACGAATAAAAATAACTCGGCATTTGATTATAAGGCGTGGAAGATGTGAAGGATAAAAGGAATATAAATGGAGACTGACAATTCTTCCTTTTGTTCTCCTCTTCATAATATACCCATGATAAATAGTCTTCAGGTTATAAAGCACTTCCTAATATCTTTCAACCCCGTTCCCGTGTGAACTTATTATCCCCGTATATTCCACATGTGCCAAATGACACAAACAGAAGACGTGACACAGACAGCAAGAGGACAAATGATGCGCACTAGGAAAGATGAGTTGTGTCTAGCATGAGAAGTGGTAATGGGCAGAAGCATCATTTCATCCGAACCTAAAAGGTGTGTAAAAAGTTTGTCACCAAAACGTATCCCCCCGTTAAAAGTGCGGAACACTGACAAATGACTGACAAAACACAATTTGGTTGAAATTATAAAATATTAGATGTCGTCTCCAAAGAGCCTAAAAAGAGTATTGATCTTCAGTCGTCCCTGGTGTGATTTTTTATTTATTTATTTTTACATATGCCCCTATAAATTTCCATGAAGCTGTCGTTTGCTCCTTGCCCTCATTCTCCATTACAATGATAAAAAACGACAACATCAAATACTGACTCACTCATAAGGCTTGAAGATGCTATATATATATATAAGCTGACGCCCGTGGTTATGGGAAATCTTGGTTATTGTGCCAAATCGTGAGCCTATCCCCATTAACATTCAATCAGTCATTCTGGTGCCAGCCAATGAAAGGTGGAGAGGGATGGAGGAGGACGGAGCTGCTAGACGGAGCTTTTTGACGCGCTGAGAGGAGGACAGAGCGTCACATCTCTCCAAACGCCCATCAAACTTTCACCACAGCCTGTGGAGAGGACCCAGTTCTCTGAAAGAGGCCTGCTAGAGACAACAAGGATGATGGAGTCACTACTGGCGATCACTTCTGGTATAGTTTAACGCTGCTGCGAATTTCCCTGAAAACGTCTTGTTCAGTTTTTTCGTCCTTCTTGCGACAGAGCGACGGGGATGGAGCAAGCACCCAGCGCGCCGAGCCCTCCTCCCAAACCGGCCCATCACGAGCCCATCAGCTTCGGGATCGATCAGATCTTGGGAGCCGGTACAGAGCCGGAAAACGGGCGCACGGCTGGGAGACAAATTGGATCAGATTTAAGCAGCGGGGACGGCTATTACAGTTTAGGAAGCCCGACCGGAGCCAGCGCGCCCTCATACACCGCGCTGTCTATCTCCCTCTCCGGTATAATGCCTCCGGTGGAGGCTTCAGGTTCATACGGCGAGAGCAGGAGTCTGGCCAGCCGAGTGATTCGAGTCCCGGCACACAGACCCATGACAGCTCCGGGACCCCCGGCCCCAGTCCAGGGCGCTGTTCCTGGGTTTGGAGGGCTTTGCTTCCCCTGGATAGGCAACAGATTCGCCAAGGACAGAATATCAGGTAGGCTATGCCAGCTGTTAGACTTAATGGGTTCGCCTCATTAATATTTGATTATGTTTCAAAACGCTAGTAACTGCTGCTGAACCATTAAAACAAACAAACACCTGTGCCAAATATTTGTAAAGGCCTTATACAGCCAACGGAACTGTTTTCACCTTAATTATTTAAATGGTTTAAGAGAGGAAAACATACAACAGGATACAAATGTTTGTTTGTTTTTTTAAATTATGGAGTGTAGGCCACTACATTTATAGATTATTAAAACGCATTGTGTCTGCTTTAGTTACCGAGTTCACTCGTATTTTTATAAGTTGAATATTTAACTTCTACATCATATAGATAAACAAGACAAAAGTAATAATGTACAATTGCACAGCTACTTTCATAAGGCTTTGTTTTTTTAATTCTCAAACAGCAATATTGGGGTCTGTCATCATTTACTGTTGTGGTGAAAATGAACTAAAATATTAATAATAGGCTATGCTGAAGAGAAGAATAAGATCACCAAATAATTGACATCATAAATTATAGACAAAAAGTAAAAAAAAAAAAAACTTTCTGAAATAATAAAGGGTGTAGTATTTAACAACAAGGTAGCCTAAATATTAATTGAAGATTATGCAAATTAAAGTTGGTATAAAACATTTTGTCACACAGCCAGCCATACGATTAACTAAATATTAAGAGGAACATTTACTAGCAAAGGCCTAAATAGCCTACATTAAAGAAAAGATAAAGAGGCCGCTGTCTCTGTAATTAGTGCGCAGGTCATCTGTTAAAGCCCAAACAACTTTAAATGAGTATGAGTATTTATTTATATCTTATAATTGCATTGTTTTCCAATAATTTGGCCAGACTCATCTTTCACAATCATTTTCATTTCACACAAGGCTTACACAGTCTAAATAGGGAATTGTTGTCAGACAGGGCGGGTATATGTGATATATGGGCTTGAATTTCCATACAGAGTGGGGAGTGAATTAGTCGGTTTGGTGCTGTAGCAATAAAATCTCATCTTTTACTCACCGGTGTCTCTCTCTGTTCCCCGCAGCGGCTCTCGTGCCGTTCGCCGTTACGCGGCGGATAGGACACCCGTACCAGAACCGGACTCCTCCCAAACGGAAAAAGCCCCGCACGTCCTTCTCCAGAGTTCAGATCTGCGAGCTGGAGAAGCGCTTCCACCGGCAGAAGTACCTGGCCAGCGCCGAGCGGGCAGCCCTGGCCAAGAGTCTGAAGATGACAGACGCACAGGTCAAAACCTGGTTCCAGAACCGCAGGACCAAGTGGAGGTTGGTATGAAATTTCATCTTCAAGTTACCTGTACTAATATCTGAAAGCGCATTTCATCACACTTCACTCGTAGAAAACTCGGCTACTACAGCCTTCTTCAAGGAGGAGTTCAAAAATCAAACTTTCGCCATTTAGCAGATGACCCCATGCGCAATTTCCTGTGAATTGACCACATCGACACGGAACAAAAAAACGAAAAAAGATTTCAGCTTTTATAAAATTTTATAGGCATTTTTTTCCTCTTCTTGTTCCTCTTCTTCTTCAATTTATACAATATTAAATAGTCATGGTATAAAATATATTAGATATAGCCTATATTTATACATATTACATAATAAATCCACAAAATGTAGATTTTATCAATTATTACATGGAGTCAAAGAGATTTTATTTTTATTTTTCATGCTTGAAACAAATCTTCTCATCATTGCATTGCCCTAGACATAATTTTATTTTAATTCTTATAACTCACCACTGTCGCTTTATGCAGCTTATGGGAATTTTCACACTTCTTCTTTAACCTTACATAACTCTTTTTATTTATCTATCTATTTATTTGTTAAGATTTTGTTTTTTACTCGTGTCTTCTTTCAGGAGACAGACAGCCGAGGAGAGGGAGGCGGAGCGTCAGCAGGCCAATCGCCTCATCCTGCAGCTTCAGCAGTCCGCCCTCCAGAAGTCCCTCAGCGAATCAGCAGTGTCGGATCCACTGTGCGCCCATAACTCCTCCCTGTACGCCCTGCAGAACCTCCAACCCTGGGCGGAGGAAAGGGAATAGAGACCAACACCACGCTGTAATCAATAAGCGTCATCGATTATCCCTGGGAGGATAAATAAATTCAACTAGCCTACATGAGGACAGTGGGACTTACTTTGATTCATGCAATGGAGAAAAAAATGTTGGACCAGTAAAACTGAAGAATGGGTCACAGCCAATTTGAGTGGATGGTTGTGAGAATGGACCTGAAATGATGGTGAGTGAAGCCTCTCTTGAAGCAGAAACAGAACTTGCTTGGAATAAATCTTGCGACTCTGTACTTGGGAACAGTGAGACTTTTTCAAATCCAAAAAGGACACAGAACTTGTCATTAAAATTTCTTGTCACCCTGTTGATTGTCTTTGTCATGCATCTTATTCTTTTTATTAGAATAAGACCAAGAAAGACAACTAACCTATAAAACTGAAGGAGGCAATTAATTCTCCACAGTGAGACACAATATGATGGAGTGTTTTTTCTGAAGGTCTTCTCTCAATGCAACCATCTCCTAAACAACAAGCTGACTTTCCTACACTTTGACAGGGTTGGCAGACAAAAAAAAGGCAAGGCCTTCACTCCACCTATACAATAGAGAACTTGCATAGAAATGTGTCATTGAATTTCAAATAAATATCCTGCTCTATTTTTATCAAAATGCACAGAAAGAAAGGTCACAAAAAGAATTCATTCACAAAAAGAATTAAGAAAAACAATTTGTTCCGGTGCTTAAACTTTCTTCCGCTCTCATTTATAAATGTAAACCCTCCAACTCCAATCACCTGTATATACACAGGTGTGGTGCACCACCTTAGCCCAAGAAAATGATGCCTAAAATGTTAACGTTAAGGGGAAAATGCTTTTGGGAGCGGTAATAAAAGGAAAATAGATGTCAGGATTACAGGGGAGAGAAGTGAAGAAAATATGAAAGAGGCTGTAAGTTGGGTAATAAAAGGAGTGATGCATGTTTAGTGATGGTGGTGACGGTTTTTTTCATATGCACATTATCATGCTTTATTTGTGGGCCGCGTCCTTCGGGATGGAGGCACAAATGTACAACTCTTTTTGTACTTTCATTGTATATGTGTAAATAACAGTATAAACCATTCTTGTGACCCTTTTTTTGGCTTGTGCTTTTTATGGTGCATCATTTTTAAAAAAAAGAAGATTTTAAGGTTTTAATACACAATAATTATAAAAAAAAGTTATGGAGCGACAAGGTTATAAAAAAATAGACATGAATTAAGTTTGTTTCTTGAAAAGTTTATTGATAAATATAATGATTTTATACAGTATTTCAATACACACATGATTTCATTCTGACAGGTTTGAGCTGTCTATCTGTTTGTCTTCCTGTCTGTCAGTCTGTCTGGAAGAATGTCTGGGTACATTTGAGATGAGCCGCAACACAGCTCAGCAAGGAGTTTTATTACACTACTGGTAGCACAGTGAGTGGGCATGACAGCAAATCATTTATAAATCTGTATTTTTGTCCTGCTCAATCTTCAAAATGATGGCTCTTGTTAGAAACATGGCTTCCATTCCTTCAGAATCAGTGAAAAGGTCTCTCTCGTCTTCTGCCTTATTCTCGCCTCTTATGTCTCAGTCTATTCTTTCCCCACAGTCCTTCCTTCTAGCTCTCCCCTCTTTTGTCTCTCCCTCACAGTGAAAGGTTAGTCGCTCTGAGTCAACATTTTTAAAAACAGACAGAACTGACGACGAAACTCTCCTCTCTAGCAGGAACATTGTCAGCTCAGCCAGACTGAGCCACAAGATAAAGCTACATGCTCGAATCATGACACTCATTATTTTAAATCAGGAAAACAGAAACTTTGCATGAGGATAACACTCACACACACACGCACACACAAACATATGCATGTCCCTGTATCACTCTGCATCTGTTTGCCAGTAAACCTCTAAATGGACTTTTAATGAATGGCAGGTAGATTAATTACAGCTATATCCAATCAGAGAGACAGACAGGCAGAATCAGAAACATCCAGACGGACACAAATGATTCCATACAGTGAGAAGAAGCCACAGATACAACAGTTAAATATCTACAGTGGAGTCGTTACGACACTGAAACACTGACTGACACCACTGGATCACACGGTAGGAGTAAAGAGGGCTTTTGTCACGAGACGTAGGAGGTCAAATTCAGCTCTGCAAACCTTTACAGGCCTGTGCCTGAATTTACTCTGTAAACACATGTGATGGCTCTGTCAGATGCTACACCCAGACCACGGCTTCCCATATGTATACACTTAGCAAGAGTATATGGCCACCAAGTTTTTTTTGTTGTTTTCTTTTTAAATGGTACATATACGTCAAATATGCCGTAGGCCTCTGTCTTGCATGCTTCACAATATTGCTCACATTTGTTGTATTGACACAGAAATTCAAGATGAAAAAAAGCCTTATTTAAGCTTCAGATGCACCGAGTATGCATCTTGGTTGATCTCACTGCTAAGGTGCTTTTAGGAATTCCAGTCCTGCTTGATAATGTGGTTCATCTGACATATTTCAGGGAAAGTATTAGAGAATCAGTATTTACACACTCTCTAAAGTGACAGCAACAAACAAGGGTGATGGAGACAAGGTAAATGGTCAAATGAAGGGTTTAAGTCTTAAAGACATTTTTCCAAAACCAGTGATGGTTTGTGGCCATGGATTTTGTTACAGCAAGATGGCCCTCCATGAAGTTCTGTGGAAATAGTCCCACATAGAGTGACAAGATCCTTGTTTTCAATAGCAAGCTATGCTGTTACTTTTCTCTTGGACATTCAACTCTCCTTCCCTTTCTTCTTTTCTCGCTCTGTGCTTTTGTCTATTGCACTTTCTCCCACTTCTTTGTTGTCTAGATGACATTTTCAAAGAGCTGCAGGGACCTCATGATGTTTTCATCCTGTGAAAGATGGAAGATGAAAAAATTAAGAAGCTGACAGTGAGGAGAAAGTCATCCAGTAATCACCTTTTAATTCAGTTTACTGGCCACTAGGGGGCAGTGAAAGCCTGTAAAATGTCAGTGAGCAATCTCACTGCAGACACACACAATGATATAGAAAGCAAAGACCATAATTAATAGACAGTATAGTGAGACATGTAAAGGGAGAGAAAACAATGCTTTTTGTATATAGTAAGTAAATTTGCTTAATTTTTTGTGCAAAAAGCTAGTGCAGACATTTTGACTTGTCACAATCGGAAAAGCACAGCTTTTACTGATAATGGCTCTGTTAACTCAATCCAATTTTATTTATATAGCTCAAAATCATAACAGAGGTTATCTCAGGGCACATTTCATTAAGAGCAGGTCTAGACCTTTGCCTTATATTACTTACAGAGACCCACAATTGCTGTGACAGAGTGACAGTGAGCCAGCACGCACAATACCCTTAAACTGAAGCAGCTTAATGGAATTCAGCCCTCTACTGCAAAGTTAAAGGGGTCTCAGAATTATAGAGAGAAGAAAATAAAGAGAGTACCTCTTGACACGAAAAGATGAATTCATCAAGAGTGACCACACCGTCTCTGTTTTTGTCCATTTTCTGTATAAAGCAAAGCACACGCTGTCAGGCTGTCTACCCAAGGTCAGGGGAGATATTAGCATGCCACCCAAAGATACAAATGCAGTGTGTATATAAATAGACATCCAACTAAAATCCAGTGGTGGAATGTAAGTACATTTACTGTACTAGATAGTTACTTTTCAGGTTACAAATGTCATATCCTGTCCAGTGAAAACAAACAATGTATCTCCAAATTTGGTGAACAAACATTTTTCTGATGAACTGAAGGATTAACCTCCTTGAATTAGCTGGAAAATGCATCGTCACAAATCTGAAAACAGGTCTGTATTTCTGTGCTCATGAAATGTGGACTTCTTAGAGCAGGCGGCCGATACATAATGCCGATATCAAAATAAAGAATATATATGTATTATTCAATTATTAATTGTAATTGTTTTAGCTGTGATTTGCTGTCATTAAGGATGATATATTGGCCTCATGAGTGCAGGTATCGGCCGATTCTGATTATCTCAAAATGCCAGATATTGGCCTGATTAATCTATCACTGTTAAAGTAGCTAAACTTTCCACAACCATAAACAAATACAGAAGTAAAATGTAACATACACATTAGCGCAGCAGTAATATTAATCCATCATATATGATAATTAAACACTGACAGGGACCATTTTACTGCACAATGAGTATTTTTACTTTTCATACTATAATAAATAATGTTTGCTTACAATACTTACATACTTTTACTTAAATAAGGTTTGAAAGCAGGACTTTTACATGTATTTTCACAGTGGCATTAGTACTTTTACATAAGTAAAGGATCTGGGCCCGTATTTATCAAGCTTCTCAGAATTACTCATAAGAACACTGCTAAGAACTGACTTAAGAGTGAAAAGAATTCTTGGCTCAAAGCTGTGTTTAAAAGTTAGTTATCAAGCATCATAGTCCTAATTTTAGTGAAGTAAATCTTAAGTGTCAGTCTTAGTGCTGATTTACGACACTTTGCTGTGCCGCAAACAGGATTTTGGAAGACATTGTAGCCAAGGACCGATCACTGAATAGATTTCCTTATTTAAGAATATTCTCAGATAAATTCACATTGAATGGTGAAATTCTTAAGTGGAGTTTATATTCAACACACATTTAAAAATAAAGAATTTTCAAGATAATACATTATGATATAGGCCTACACATTAAGAAATGAAAGATAAAAAAGTTTATCTTTATATGAGCGCCATCAATGCGCCTACTACTCCTGTATTGCCGGCTTTTTGCATGAACTGTGCTTGCTTCTTTCGGATTACGGGGTTGTTGTTGGGAAGTCGATGAAACGCGTGACAGTGTGTGGAGCTGTAAGTGCTATAATTGTTTCCATGACTATTCGGCTTATTGATGGTTGTGATGGCCACAATCATCAGCATTGCTGCATTTGTCCTGTGGCAAATAAATGAAGCATCATCTCCTTCAGTTTAACTGAAAACGCATGACTCTGTGAAGTCAGTGGTGAGATGATGTCCCTCACCAACTCATTGACAAAGTTTATGCCTGCGCTGTCCGACCCCGTCTTATTAACTGTGCGTCAAATAATTCAGAAACATTCTTCCTCTCCTGAAAGATGCATGTCTCTGTCTCCACAGTGCCATCACAAGCCCCTACTGGCAGCTCCTAATCACTTGAGAGACCTCTCAAGCTGTCTTAAATAACTGGGAAAATAAGAGTGATTCTTAGCTTTGAGAAATTTGATAACTTGCTTTTATTCTTAAGTTTAAAAGTAGGAGTAAATTTCATGAATTCTCAGCACTTAAGACTAAAATGGCACTTTGAGAAGCTTGATAAATACCGGCCCTGAATGCTTCTTCCACCACTGCTAAAATCAGCCGCCTATTCTGTGAGCTCACAGTCATCATGTCATTTTGGCAGCTTCTTTGTTACCAGGCGCTCTTTGCTGTGGTGTCACTGCACTTGTCAGATCACCAGCCACTACTCACTGTGTCCAGCATTGAGAGGTCTTATTTAATTTAGAAAGTTTAGTTTGTTTTCACTCTTTTATTTGCTCTTAAGCCATGGCTATCGCTGCTCTAACCACACAGCTTTTCTTGTGCTTCCAGGAAATGTAAAGCATGCGTTAGATTGATGCATCCTTGTTTGGTTAATCATCAATATTTGTGTTGTTGTTATCAGACTTAAATAAAGGACTTAGGTGTTGTTACCTGAAAGAAGGCTTCCACATGTTGTTTGGGTGCGTCAGTTTTCAAGACAGGGTAAGTGTACTTCCCCATCATGTCATATATCGCTCTGACAATGTCTGTCATCTCCTATGAAACACAAAAGTACACACACACACACAAACATGAGACGTGTGAGAGTGTGAGAGTCACATAAAAATACTAACTCAGTGTACATATAACCACAATTTGAAAATCAATGAAGGTTAGTCATGCACAAACACACACACACACACACACACACACACACTCTTTGTTGATGTATCCATCTCTGTTGATATCGTAAAGGTTAAAGGTCCACTGCAGCTTCTCAGTGACGGAGCCCCTCAGCAGGATGGACAGAGCTGTTACAAAGTCC